GCTGGGAGTTGGGGTATGACAAGAGGCACCGACTTCTCTTGTGTTAACGTGCTTCTGTGTTTCTTGTCTAGCTGTTCTGCTGGCAATGGCTTGCTTCATCTTTGCTGTTCGGCTGGGACTGGTCACCTGGAGACACCATAAGAGACCGCTGGAAGCATCGGAAACCCCAGACCCATCAGGCACAGTGGCCTGAGACCTCGGGCGTGTTGTGGCAGATACTTTACAGGGAGAAAAAAGAATTGGGCGTCCACTGGTCCTTCCAGTATCAATCGCCTTGTGCTCTTCTCTTTCTTTCCATTCCAAATGCAGATGGCTTGTGTCTGCAAACCTGTCCTGCTCCCGTATTCCCTCAGATCACCTACTGACAGCTCCTCCTTGAATCTGCACCCTCCTTCATTGGGTTTGACTCTGGACTGATGTAGGAAAAGCTCCTTTGGCTGAGCAGCCCTCCGCACCCCTGAGCTGCGGCTCCTCACTCCTGCCAGTGCCAGGAGGGCTGTTGGCAGGTTGTTTTGTATTCTTTCCTTGGTAGTTCATCTTTTTTCTTAAAGCACATCTCCAAGTGAAGCATCCCTGGGAGTGGAGGTGAGCCGGGGGGTCTGTCAGTCCCTTGGCTGTTTGGTGCTGGGTACCCCGAAGCCCCGGCAGCGTGGGCAGATCCGCAGGCAACGACTGCTCCCGGTCCTGCTCCTCTCCACCAAGGTGGGAACAGATACTGCAGCTCGAGATCTTGCTCTGACCTTTGATAGCCAAGGGGGAAGGAGGGATGACTGAATGTTTCTGACACAATTACAAGCCTTCAACCTATTTCAGCTTGTAGCAGCTCTAGAAACTGAAGCTGTGCTCACTTTTTGGCACACAGTGAGATGTCTGGGTCTCTGCCCTGGTTTTTCCTGACTCTAAGGTAGTCGCTGTGTCAGCACCTCTGTGGACCCACAATAGCAGCGGATTTGTGCTCCTCTCGCTCTGCCTGTAAGACGGATGAGATCTGGGTCAGGTGGGAGCGGTGGGTTGCCCTTCCCCGAGCTCTGCAGTTTGCGCTGGCTGGAGGATGGTTTGTACCCCCTCTGGCAGGAGATGTGCAGGTGAGGTGATGCTTGATCTGGGGTAAAGCCTGCTGCTTCAAAGGAAGCCTGCTTAAGGGAAACAACCAACTTATTTGAACTGGTAGAGTGAGTTCGTCCTGGGTCAGTGCTTCACTACTTCCAATTGGTGTTAGGAAGCCTAAAAGTGGATTGACTGCCATGTCGGACCGCTGCCTCTGTGCCCACTCGAGAGCTTGTGGTGCCTCACTGGTGTCTGGAAAGTGGTTCTGCGTGGCATGTGCTTCCAGATGCTGAATATCTTGCAATATTACTACAAAGGTAAAATCTTCTAAAATGGCATGTGCTGTTGTTTACATTTAACAAAGAACAAAAATCAGCATAATGCAATTCCTCTTGTCCTAAATAACTAAATTGACTGATTCCACTGCTCTTCCACTAACTCTAAGTCATGGAAAGTGACTGTCCTGGCTCCTGCCTTGCTTGTGCCCTGGGCTCTGCAGTCACCCTGGTCCTTGCTGAGCCAGCTCTGCCCCTTCCTCGCTGGGATGCTCCTGGGTGTAGCCGCTTCCACCGCTCGTGCCTTCCTCACCCTTAGGGGCAAAGACTTTGGGTGATGCAGGTTCCTATGTATGACTTAAACTCTATTAATTAAATTTTTATAAGCTCTGCCTCCCAAGAGCCCAACTAGTAAACTCCCAGCCGCCTCTCCGTAAGGTGTCTTCTGGAGTACAGTGGTGGTAAACCCACTGGTGTGTGGATTAAGGGGTCCAGGCAAGGTGAGCGGCTGGCGTGGGGCTGTGCAGCAGTCAATGCATGGGGGGGGGTCCCTGGGAGGTTTTGCATCCTCCCAAGCGAGGGCTTTGCAAACAGCTCCTGGACCAGGGCAGCTGCAGTGCCCGGCCATAGGACGTTAAACAGAGCCGTCGGGGGCTTTCTTGGGGGCTGTACCCCATGTCTGTACTGGCCAAATGAGTAGAAACTATACTGCAGGATACAATTAATGCATTAATTAGCTGGGGAGAGTCAACAGGGCTTCTGTAGAGGGAAGTCATGTCTTGCAAACCTCTCCGAGTTCTCTGAAGGATGCAAAAAGCACGTCGGTAGGGGTGAACTGTTTTATATTGCCACTGGCTTCTAACGAAGCTCAAAAGCTATGGTATAAAAAGCAACGTCCTGATCAAAGGTGGGAAACGGAGAGGGGTGTTTCTCTCCAGGAAGGGAGGTTGCTGGTGCCATGTGTCATTAGACCTGGGCTGGATAATGTAGTAATTAAAAACCAAGGGCTGGTTTGATGGGCGGTTGTTTAGGGTGCTAAAGGAGAAGGTTGACTGGGGAATTGCAAAAAGCTCTTACGAAACTGAAAGTGGGCAGGGGGAATGATGGATGAAAGTCGCTGTAGGTATGCACCGAAGGGTGTGTAAGGGGAAAACCAGGCTGTGCTTCGCCTTTCAAGGGACGTGCTCCAAGCTGGCCCCTGCCGCTCGGGCGCAAGGGCTTGGAGCTACGGTAGCAGCCGCTTGCACCCAAATATTTCCACATCTGGCAGCAGCAGCAGAGGCAAACCCTGTACTGGGGAGGGTTAGGTAAGGAGTAAAACAGAGAACGCCCTCGTGCCTCGCTAAAGCTCTCTGCACCCACGTCTTCAGAGCTTCATGCAGTTCTGGTCCTCCTGCTTTTGGGAGGTGGTTAATGGTTTGGGAAAGGGTTGGAGAGGAGCGATGGCATCGGGGAGCGAGCTTTGGGAAAAGTGGCTTTCTTTGCATCTGTGGCAGGAACAGGAGCCTAAAAATACTGCCCCTGCCTCTTTCTTTTAGCTGGGATGGGGGGAAACATGAAAAATAAGTGTGAACCTTCCTCTTCCAGCCTTGGGGCTAAAAAAGGCCTTTAAAAATAGCCTTGAGGCTTTTTTTTTCCTGAAATGCCTTATTTCCGTTTGTTTTCAAAAACCACTGATATGCAGTTTTGCCCACAGGAGATTTTTCTTTTGGCAAGGCTGTGTTTCATGAAGCTGGAAACCTGCCAACTGTTTAGCAAAAATAATCCTTCCAGCCCTTGTTTCCATGAGCGATTATAGGATTTGGGTGAATTTTACCAGATTTAAAATTTCTTGGAAAGCTGGTGGCCTTAAGAACCCAAAGCCTGGAAAATTAGTTTTGTTTCTGAAAAGGTGATTTCAGGGCCCTGGCAAGTGCTTGTGTCATCCTTGTAGCCCAGCCTGGGCTGTGACCTGTGTCCCCTGGGCTGCCTTGCCTTCCATGGGGCTCGTGAAGCCAGGCATGACATGGTTCCTGGGATGTAAAGGCATGCTTTCTGATACTGAAAGCTGGGTTTACACTTGTCATCCTCTGAAGGGATTTGCTCTGTGGTTAAATGGGGGGATAGGGAAAAGCAGGGTGATCTGTAAACCACTGTGGGGTGGACAACCCCAGCGCCACGTCCAAGGATGCTCGGGGATGTCCCCTTCGCTCCTGCTCTGTGCCTGGCAGCCTCCGTCTGAGGATGACCCATCGGTTTATCAGTGCCTTCTCCAGAGGGCTGTAGTGGCTGGGCTGGACCTTGCTGAGGCTGCAACAGAGTTGTTGTCAGTAAAAGTTCCTGGGAAAATCGGATTTGGAAGAATGATGCATGGAAGAAGTTGTGGGTCAGGGGAAATATGCATTTGAACTGAGAGA